GTTGTCGGTATCATGAATGCTGCTAAAAGCACTGTCAATGGCAATTGTGTACATTTTTAAGGAGACAACCTAACAACTGATGTTTATTCATATCACTAAGCAATTTATCCAGCATTGCCCAGGTTGATGTTAATGACTTGGTTATGACTGAAACAGTTATGTGACCGGTAGCATCCACAATCCTAGAATTGTGCATAAAACAAAGTTTGAGTATACTGAATCATCAGAAAGCAATAGTGTCACTATCTCAGCTACTGATGTGGATAACTTTGGATTTAGAAGTATTATGAATTTCAAAATTCCAAATAAGGAGTGTTCAACTTATACATATGTATTTTAGTTCAGTAGATTTGCTTCACAGATAATTTATATTATTATACCATGGTCTAGGAGAAGTCACACTATAACTGACTCCCAATTTGTACTCTTCCTTGAATCTGTGCGAACTTGCTATTAACAGCAGAGTACAACACATATTATCACTTCAACTTCTTTGCTCTTTTCCTCATTGAAACTTATACAGCATAAACTGCATCTCTTTTCTTCATTTCATTTATTAAATTGACCAAAGGCAAATAACCCAAAAGAGTTTGACAAGAATGCGTAGGAGGTTTGCCAGACAAATTCCCCTGTGTCCTCAGCCTAGGCTATCAAAGTGTTGCATTTTAAATTCCCTCGGCCTATTCCTCTCTCATTTAAATAAATCAGACATTCTTATCTAATTTCCTGAGATAATAAGAGTGTTTAATGTATAATTTAACTTTACTGCAGACATTGCTTATAGCAAATTTATCTTTCTCACCTGTCGGAATTATAGAGCTTATTTCTGTAATTTCACCTTGTATTACGGAGAACAAAATCTACTTTCTAAGAAACAGTAATTTGCTTTCACATGGCTACATATGTTGATGATGGTGGCATCCTTGAAGTCTGCTGGGATTTTCTTGGTTGCCCACACTTTTTCAATGAGCTGGTTGAGTTGTTGTCTCAGCTCAGGTCTACCCTCTTTAAAGATTTCAGTAGGGATCCCATCAGGTACACTAGCTTTGTTATTTTTTAGTTGACTGATGGTTTTGCTGACTTCCCCCAAACTAGGCAGTGCTGCAAGCTCATCTCTGATTTGTTGTTGTGGGACTTGCAAGAGAACCTCTTCAGCCACCTTGGAACTGCGTTTAAGGAGATTATGGCAGTGCTCTTTCCAATGTAGTACATTTTTTATCCTTCAGAAGTTTGATTCCATCTGATGAACATAGAGAGTGTATGCTATGATTTGTTGGACCATAGTTCACCTTTGTGGCATTAAAAAATCCCCATGCATCATAGACATCTGCAAAGTGGTGGATTTCTTGATCCTTTTTTGTCCATCAGATGTTGTTGAGTTCTCTGGTCCTTCTCAGCTTTTTGCATTGGCATAGATCTTTTTCTTAGCAGTGCAGTTAGTGTCTCCTTGTCATAGTTTGAAGGCTTTCCTTTTCTTATCAATTAACTGTTGGATCTCGTTATCATTTTCAACAAACCGATCTTGGTGTTTCTTAGTTTGGTATCCAATGGTTTCCTCACAGGATGTGATGATGCAGGTCTTCAGATTATTCGAATGTTCCTAAACATTTTCAGGATGTTCTATGGGTAGATGATCCTTGAATGTTGTTTGGAGAAGGGCTCATTTGGAGGGCTCTTGAGGGGCTTTTGGGTGTTCATTATCTTTCTTCCTTGGAGTCTACATTTGGGGGTGATTTTGATGGCCATCATGAATCGTATTAACCTGTGGTCTGTCGAGTAGTCATCGGCATCTGTCATGGCTCTTGTGAGAAGCACATTGTGACAATCTCGGGCACATATAATTACATAGTCTAAGAGGTACCAGTGCTTTTACCAGATGTGCTTCCATAATGTATTAAGCTTGTTTTTCTGGTGGAAGAGCATATTGATGATGACAAGGTTGTATTCTGCCAATTTGGTGAGAAGCAGGATACCATTCGGATTGCTGTTTCCAACCCCATCTTTTCCTATGGTCCCTAACCACAGGTCAAAGTCTCATCCCACTCTTGCATTAAAATCATCAAGGAGGATGATTTTGTCCTCCTTAGATATCTCCGATAGGATGGTATCCAGCCAACAGTAAAAAATTTCCTTGATGTCTTCGTCAGCATCTAGTGTTGGTGCGTAGGTACTTATGACAGCTGTCTGTTGGTTTTGGCAAAGTTAATTCAGAAGGTTTAGTGCCATTTGTTAATGCTGATGGGTGCTGTGGACAGATGGTTCACCAAATCATTTCTGATAACAAAGCCGGTTCTTCTTCAGTCAGTCCCTTCCAGAAGAAAATGTAACCTCCTTTTTCTTCCTTCAGCTGTCCCTCTTCTGCTCTCCATGTCTCTTGAAGAACTGTTATGTCAATGTTAAAGCATCTCAGCTCCTTTGCAATTATAGCAGTCCTGTGTTCAGGGTGTTCACTGCCTGTGTTGTCTAACAATGTCCATGCATTCCATGTTCCAAAGTTCATCCTTCTTTTTTGGCTGCAAGGTGGTGACCTCTCTGGACATGGCAGTCCAGTCAGGGATAAGAGAGGCAGACTATGTTTAGGGCACCTTTTCTAGCCCCTCCTGATATGGGGTGAGCAGAATATCCACATCCAAGGGCTGCCAAACTACTCAACTGCTTCAGACTTTGAAGTAGAATGACTGAATCCATATACACCACCCATGTGCCAGTTTGTGACTAGGGGTTTCCAGATTTCACAGTTTTGCCCGCGTCAACACATGCTGATTGCCATGAGAATTTTGTTGGTTTTGTTTTGTTTTTCTTTGAAGACGCCTGTGCGTGAATTTGATTTATATGCGGAGATCAGTGTACAGCCGATCAACACCCAGTCTTCACAAAATGAGGGTCCCATCCAGTGGCTTGATTAACACGACAGCAGTGGCTTCTCATGTGTTGCAACCTTCTTCTGCCTTCACAGCCGTTGTAACATGTAACAGGTTATCATCTGCCTACTCCGCCACTGTGGTCTTCAGATTTGTTTGGTCTGGTTCTTTCCTTGTGGCCCTGCTGCCTAGAGAGACTCCCCTACAAGCACATGACTCCAACAATTTTGCCCGCACACAAGTCCCCATATCATGACAAGATGACAATCCATCGAGGGGGGAAAGTCACTGTTATATATTTCTAAATGAAGTCTTTGGAATAGAAATAGTAACAGAAAACAGATTTTTCTCTTTGGGAAAGTATATCATGAGACTTCACCATGAATATAAGTTGCAACAAATTCCTTACTTATTTTGGAAACAATTTCATTTTCTAGAAGGTAACAGAAATGGAATGGAGACTATTTTAGACTTAATGCTTATCAACGGGGAAGAATCAGTGACTGAGAAGAAAGTAGTGTGATTCCCAGATGGCAGAGACCATATTTCATTGGAATTCACTATACAGAGAAAAGTGAAATTGAACATTAGACTTTAGTAAAGACAATTTCAATAAGCTTAAGGAAATACTATAGTTGAGATACTATGCCTAGAAATATCTAAAAGAGCTCATGATGGATAGGGATTTTTTTTGGTGAGGTATTTATAACATAATTATGAAAACCTCAAATGAAAAAGAAAAGTGGTATGCTCCTAATGAACTATAATTGCTTTATGAAGAACTTTCATATGTGTAAGGGAATAAAAGAAGGGAGAAATCATTAAATTGACAGCAAGATTCTCCTCCTCTTTCACTCTCCCACTTTCCCTCCGTTATTCCAGAGCTAGCTTTAAAAAAAAAACTTTATAGTAATTTGCGGCTGGGGAGTTGTTCATCATTGCAGGAACTTTGTAAAAAAAATTAATGAAATACGGAGTAGTGGAAGTGCAGGAAGGCAAGGTTACGAGGGTGTGCAGTAAGAATAAAGGAACATGCAACAGTAGGTCAGTGCTATTGGATAAAAAGGGAAAATTGTGATAACAAAGGTGCTTGTGCAGGTATGTATCTGCTATTCCTGTATGCGTGACTGCCACAGGATAGTGGTTTTGTGCAATGAATTCCCAATATTTCCTGTCTCTTAAGGTTTTCTGAAGGCAGATGGGATGGCAATTCCAAATAGGGAAGAGGGAAGTGAAATGTATCACTAATATAGACACAGGCAACCTAAGAAATTCCAGAATCATTGTCATTGGGTTAAAAGCACAAAGTGGAGTGAAAGTAGATGAAATGCAATGTGATTTGGAACATACTTTGTGATATAGTATAGAATTTATGACATAAAATAATGTGCATTTATTTGCATGTGTCTGGCAACTGAGAAATAGTAAAATTGATGGGAACAGATAAATTTCCCTACCTATATTTTCTGAAATAGGAATGCTGAACCTTCAGATAACAAACCAGAATTCAACTGCAACTTGGCAGCAACTTAATTTAAATGATAATTACTCAATAAGATAGCTGTGATCAAGGGAAACTTCAACACTGACAGCCACACCTTTTAAAGCATATGGAGTGGGCTGGAAGGAAGTTCCCACTGGGGAAAGAGGTGACATTGGAGAGGACTTAGAAAAACACCTCCCCTCATCAAGTCTTCAGACAGGTTGGCAAAGCTTTGTGGGAGGATGCAGGAGATATAAAGGGACAGGTCGATATAAAAAGCAGTAGTAATAATATTTAAGTGCTGGCCCATATGAAAATCCATCCATCATTTAGATTTATAAAAATAATGTCAGTCTTTTTAAAATGCTAAATAGTCCAGGTTCAACAAAACAGCATTAATGAATATCTAATGATGAAGCACAGTGCTAAATATATCATCCAATTTTTTAAACTGCTAGTTTTTTTAAAAAATGTGGTTTTACTCTGACAAGTAGCAAAGCAGAGAAAGTTAATTTGAAACCTTGTCTCATCTATGTTACTGTTTCCACAGGAAGGTTAACCACTTCTTTTTCAATTCTAAAAAAAAAATCTGGTTAATGATACAACTCATATTTGAGCAATGACTGCAATGAGCTAAAACTAGATTTGGCACCTACCTCAGCTACTTTTACAGCATTCAGGACTCGGGTCTCCTTTTCAATGTCTTTTTGTTTCTGTAAAGCTCTCCAGGCAGCATTCCTCAATCCTTCTTGATTCACGTGCCCAGAAAGTTCATTCCGCAGCAGAACTAGATTGTAGATCACACCATAACGAATAACCCAGAATGGATCATGATCTGAAGATAATATTTTAGTGTGCCATGAATATTAAATTTTCCCAATTAGTTCATACTACAAGACATGTTTTATAATAATAATAGTAATAGTAATAATTTATACTTTATTTATATTCCGCCCTTCTCACCCCGAAGGGGACTCAGGACGGATCACAGTACACATACACAGCAAACATTCAATGCCGCTTTGTATAGACAATACACAGACAGACAGAATAGAAGGAGGTGGTTTGTTTTGACTTGGTGTCCAACTGTTTTTGGTGCCATTGAAGGTTGAGCTCGAATCCAGGGGTGCTGTTGTTTTATCCTCTATGGTGAAGAGTCTTCAGGACTTCCTCCTTCCTTTTGGTCACCCAGCATTTTCTGATCTTTTTTCCTTATGGCGTTGTAAAACACCTCCCTTGCTTTTAGCGGTACCTAATTTCTCTAATCACCACTAAAGCTGTTTTCGAATTGCTTAGGTAAACAATGAGCTAGGCTGACAGTTGACAGCTCACACCAACCCGGGGCTTCGAACTTGCAACCTTTTGGTTGATAGATCTTATAATTGCTGATGATTTACCAGCTGTGGTAAACCTTTCTTATTTGAATTATGGCTAGTTGGTGTTGTTCTAATCTCGAGCCTAATTTAAACATGGCAAGACCATTTAAAAAGGGGTGAAAAGCACTTGCTAATGGATTGTGACGATGATGACTATTAATAATACTATGTTTTTTCTCTCTACAAGGAGACTCAAAGCAGTGTATATTAAAAGCATTTTAACATAATTTAAAATTTACAAATCTACATACATTACAACAGAATTAAGTATCAATGGTATTTGTTAAAATTAAGTTAAAATCCATAAAAACATATTCAAAGCTAAAAAGTAGCTGTCATGTTAAAAAGGCATTTAGTACTGTGTACACTGGACCATCATGCATAGTTAGCATCTCCAATCCTCTTGAAAAATGGAATTTTCTATCTACTAATGCTAAACACAAATGTCTAATATGTGAGATATGTGACTTCTAAAAGAAATGCAAGCTACCTGGAAAATCGACATAGGTAAGCCTCCCTGTGTTTTTGTTGCAGAGGAAATAGTTAATTCCTGTTATTTCAATGGCTTATTCCCCATTAGAAATTTAGTCTGGAACTGATATCCTTTGTTCTCCTACTTTTTATAGACAATCCAGATGACAATGTTACCAGTTTGCATTAAACTCATAGAATCATAGAATATCTTCTATAGCTCACCTTTTCTTTTATAAAGATCTCTTTCTGGGGATTTTTTAAAATGTAGAACAAAACTAAAATGGCCAGCAAATACCAAACTGTCTTATTAAAGGATGACTATACTATTAAGAAGTAGCTATCTTACTGTACCAGTACTACTTTTATTGCTACCGCTTCAATGTTACTGCAGAATTATTGATTAATAGTCTTTTGATTGTGTCTTATGCTCCCAGTTCTTGCTCCACTCTGGGAGGTGGTTAATTATGAAATGATTTTCATTTTTACCCTTTTATTGAAAAATATAGCTAAATAAGTTGATACATGTCAGTCTTAGGAAAAAAAAAGAAGCAGCTGCCAGGAGATAGCTAATAGCTGCACTGTATTTTTAACTTTCACAGAGGATGTCATGGTTTTACATTACTTTCAGGCAGTATGGTTGCAACAAAATGAAGCCCTGTTCTATTACACTGGCTAATGAGCAGAGCACAGAATAAAAATCTCCAAGCATTACCAGCACCATCCCTACAGGAAGGATTGGACCTACTGCTAAAATACTCCTTCAAGTTACACCCCAGAGAATCAGCCAGAGGAAACCCTGTTTGATGTCTTCAAAAGTCTCCAAGGAATCCTGCAGAAACATCCATTATAGCACACACTTTCCCTATCCAGCTGATCAGAACACGTAATGTAATAGAGAGGCATTCACTATTCTTTTTAACCCATCATACAATGCCACCTACTAACCCCAGCTGCTTTTATCAGCCAGGAAGGATGAGTCACACAAGTCCAAATATCCTATTCACATCAATGGGATGAACAAATTGAAAGGTATCCATTATTACTGAACAGGTAGAGTATTATCAACTACAGTCCCCCCATTTGAAACAGATATATGTTTCTTTTCTGCAAAGTGCAGTGCAAACTGTTCACTGTTGAATGGTTCATATACTCCTATTTGGGGTCAAATGATAATAGATCTTTCAAGTATTTGGAACATGTGCAAATCTGGGCACATGCAACACTGTCATAAACATGTTTTTGCTTTGTTTGCTTTTTCTGTCAGAAGTGCCAGAAAGTGTGTGGTTCTATAAACTCTAGCCACTATTTTGTCAGACTTAGTCTGAGTTTTCTACCAATTTCTAGTCACTGTTTGATCACTGGTAACTTGTCTGTGAACCAAACATTTCATTTGGATCAATTCTGTGATTGAGGACACTAAGGAACCATTGCATCTCCTTCCTTACTTATCCATTCCAGAGGCCAACCAGTGTTTCAGCATAATTCCTGTTGTCCTTCTACCTGCAGCTGAAAAAAAGTGTTCAAGCTTTCTGAAAGTAATTGGGTTTATAGGAAGGTGCTAGACATTTAACATTTTGTATTAACGTGGTGCTTTAAATTAATCATACATTTAATATTTATAACTTGCAGAACTTTATCGAGATGTTTTAAAATGTTGTAAACAGCCTTAAATGATAGATAGATAGAAAGATTGGTAAGGAAGGATGGATAAGGTAGGCAAGCAGAAACGAGATGCTTATCAAGAAAGATGGACAGGGACTCACTCAAAGATTGCAACACGTTTTCATTCATGGATTTTGTGTATTGAATGTGGCAAAAAAGTTGTGAAAGGAAATAAACAGCTAACACGGGGAAAGGTTTAGGAACATATCAAAAGAAAGTGCCTCTGCATATATTTTTTCATGAAAAGAGGGCTCTATTGTTATATTTATGCCGCTATATTAGATGTGAGAATGATGGGAAGCTGGTTTGATCCCATCCCATCTCAGTATATGGCTCCTCAGCATTTAGGCACAATCATGGCAGTTCCCTTTCCAGCTGAAATAAGATAAGGTTCAAAAATACAAAAACATTAAAACATCAAAGACTTAAAGGCATCAAATCACTGTGCTTACCCCTAAGAGATTTTGGCTCCCTTCTGTCTTGTATCATGTTACCTTGGCATTAACTACATTCCCTACATGCCTTCCTAATTAGAACAGGGACTACGGGGAACACTGAGGAAATATTAGTCATCTCTTTAGAGGCCTGTGTTCTTCTAATACAAAGCGTCTCCTGAAATGGAGCTTTGCATACTTAGTTCTTATGAATGTCAAAGGCAATTTAGCATGCTGTGTCGCTAGAAGGACAATAGAATTCTCCTCACTATGTTGAATCAGGTAGTTAAATACTTTGAAAAAGTAACCATTCAGACTGCAATCTTATGAGCACTTACCTAGCAGTAAGTCCTATTGAGCTCATTGGGGATTACTTAAAAGATATACAGGCCTAGAATTGCATTACATATCATTGTTATAGGTGATAGAAGAGAAATAAAAGGATTAAGATGTTTTTGGCTCTCAACATTGAGAATATTTAATATTTAACAAACTGGCTCTTTTGCATAAATGTACAGAAATGTAAATAACCACCATCTGTAAATGATTATGTACTGGTTATGAACTATATTTTTGAAAATGTTAAAAGCATACTGCCTTTTGAACTACTGGACATTCATGTTATTGCTATGGCCTCAAGTTGATTCCAACTTATGGTAACCCTATCATAGGGTTTTCTTGGAGAGATTTGTTCAGCTGAGGTTTGCCTTTGCCTGTCTCTTAGACTGAGAAAGTATGATTTCACCAAGATCACCCATGGCTGTGTGGAAATTCAAATACTTATCTCCTGTATCCCTACATCAAAATATTATATTGCAATACTCCAAATATGGAAGTCACTTCTGAATATAACTTCTGGTTTCTAATAATGTATTATTATTATTATTTTGCTTTAGGTAAGGGAAGAGGGAAACAAGTAGTGGTTTATCTTTTTTTCCAAATATATTTGGTTTGTTAAGGGCAAAAAAATCTGCCCAAAACAAATTTAAGGAGCACAGGAGCTTTGGGGTGGTCTTAGAGAAGATGGAGTAGCCTAGAAACCCCCAGGAGAGAATCACATGAAACCTACAGGTCATTCCCAAATCCTGCTTTTATATAAGTACTGAAATTGAGCCTTGTTGGATCTGAGTAAAGCTTTAGCTCATAACCGCGTTTCCTGTAGAGGCCAACTATGTATCTACATGCAGAGCTTGTAGGTGATATGTCTCTTCTGTTATTGCTTCCCAGAAATTGATGTTGATCAACATGGTGCCTCTGATCCTGGAGGTTCTATGAAGCTATCATGACTTATAGGCATTCAAAGCCATATTCTTCATGTTCTTCACCTTCCAGTGACAGTCATAATATCTTGTGGCAATAAATTCCATAAATTAGTGGCTAGAATCCTGACAAAGCCTAAAGGAAATATGAATTTTGTCTCATGCAAGTATATCCTTGCCACAAGTAGATTGTGGGTGAAGAGGTCAAGACTGCAATTCCAAGCATAATTATTAGAGGGAAAGATCAAATGAATTCCATGGGGGTTAGTAAAAAAAGGCTACAGAGCACAACTGCAATTCTTTATACACCAACTAAAATCACTCTATTATTACCAAGTAAAATGCACAAGATCAAGCTGTAAGGTTGCAAACCTATAGGTACCTACTTGAACATAGGTCATCATGAAAATCAACAGATTTTTGAGTAAATAATGATAGGCTCAGGCTGCTCACAAACTGAAAACCATGAATATTTATGCCCTCGTTTATCTTGTTTGTGAATCACAATCACAGTAGCCTGTTTTTAATAGAGGTATTAAATCAATGTATTCGCTAAATAGTTGATATTTTAATTCTGTCATTGTCAACTAACTTTTTACCTGTGACTAGTGCCTGAAGCTGGGCTAGAGA